CATCCATGTTGGCTGTATAGATTAACATAGATTCATTGTTATATAGTACAAAAAAATAACTCTTTAACATAAATAATATAACAACTTTTAACATTTTAGCTTACTTGTAGTAAATTAGACATTGGGTAGATGTTGGAAGGATTGGTTAGATGTTGGAAGGATTGGTTTGACTATAATAAAAAGATAATGAATATTTGTTTTTCTGAATATTTTAAATATTTTGGGGTGATTTTCATTAGTTGATCAGCCAGATGGCCAATCACAGCTGCGGAAATAATTAATTGGGGATCTCAAAAAAGGCCTAAATGTAAAAATGCGCGCATATGGTTAGTATTAAAATACACTAATATTAATACTAATGGTAACAATCTCTTTGTTACTGTTGTATGTGAAATTGAAACTATGTGAATTGAAATATTTTGAGGCAGAGTGAAATTCTGTTTGGCTAATATATGTGAATTATTACTATATAGATAAGAAAAATGTTACATAAACAATGATGTATATATTATTATATAAAACTTTAATCGCTTAATCTATCTTTATTTGGTAATGGGAAGATCTCATTTATTTTTTGGTTAAAAATGAGTATCTCACATATATTTATTTACAAAGAACAAAACAGGAATTCTTAATTATTACAAGTTTGATTGCAAATTAATCTTTTACAATCTCTTCCATCAATTTTATCAGTTATGGCAACTTAGAATATGGTGGAAAAAAGTGCCTTTACAAGTTTTTTTCATCTTGCATACAGTTACAAAGAACAAACAGGAATTCTTAATTATTACAAGTTTGATTGTGAATTAATCTTTTACAATCTCTTTCATCAATTTTTATCAGTTATGGCAACTTAGAATATGGTGGAAAAAATTTATTAAAAATGAATACTGTGAGCACCAACCAATACCAATAATAATAATAATAATAATAATAATAATAATAATTTTATCTACATACCACCATTACCATTGCTGTCTCTTCCTCCTCCTACAACTCAGGCTCCCTACACCCAACCCACCACCTGAGAGCAACTAAATACCCAGTTGCAACATATTCAACAACTCAAACAACAACTTCAACAACAACAACAACAACAAGACCTACTACAACAACAGCAAAGTCTACAACTTCAACAACAACTTCAACAACTTCAACAACAACAGCAACAAATTGCTGAACTCTCTTCCTCCTCCTCCCTACCCATCTACATTATCATTATCATTTTTTTATATTTGTTTTTTTATTAATAAAATATTTTATGTTTGAACTTTTATTATTAAGAATGATTTCGGATGTTAAACTCATGCAAACTATGAAAGGATTTTTGCAGGAAATTTGAAACCAATGTATATTTATGTTTTTACCATTTACTAAAAATAATGATTTGGGAAGTTAAACTTGTACAATCTAGCATAGCGGGCTTAAATTTGATTGGTCGATCGACAAGGTATAGATAAATCAAAATTCATTATTAAAATTTCTGATCATCTGACTTTAACCCTTTTTCTGGCCACCAAAAATTATTTCTGGATTACAAG